GGTTTCAAATCATTTTCACCCCATCTAATTATCTTTCATGGTGCAGTGGCATTCTGATCTCGGAGCTTTTGAAGCCCACAATTGATTTCGAGAAAAAGGGCTTCCTTAATTTCCAAGAAACTGTGAACCAGCCCCGTCAAATCTTACCACCACTGGGATGGGAATCGTGGTAATCGCTTTTTGATTGAGAAGTTTAACACAAAAGAGCATAAATTGATTAAGGGAAGTACTGATACTTGGAGAATAATCTAAATATCTTTTTATTGAAGCACACTCAAAATACATTAGACTGCTGAAATTTATAGATTTAAACATAACAACTTTTCCTAAAAACAAACTACTTAGCATAAAAAATCTATCATAGCAAAGTAACTACTCTGTTATTTGACAGCTCATACTGACTTAGTCTATGCCTAAGAAATAGCAACAGAAACAGCTCATACTGACTTAGTCTATGCCTAAGAAATAGCAACAGAAACAGCTCATACTAACTTAGTCTATGCCTAAGAAATAGCAACAGAAATTTGACTAAGTAAGATGCACTAATTTGTAACACTCCCCCTTAGTGCATGCTTATGATCAACAACTCCANTAGGAATTCCTTGCAGCTCAATTTCTTGATTCAACACCTTTTCACGAACAAAGTGGTGATGGACTTCAATATGCTTTGTTCGCCCATGAAAAACTGGATTCGAAGCAAGTCTGATAGCACTCTCATTATCACAATAGATCTGCACAGCATAATCAACCTTAGAGAAAATATCTTCCATCAAACACTTCAACCAAATGCATTCTTGTGCAGCCATTGTTGCAACCATATATTCAGCTTCAGTACAAGACAAGGCAACAGTTGATTGTTTCTTACTACACCATGAAACAACAGCTGAACCAAGACTGAAGCAGTACCCTAAAGTTGAACGATGATCGACTGCATCACCTGCCCAATCTGCATCAGTGAATCCTCTTAAGACAAAGTCACCTCCTTTCTTGTACATAAGACCATAAGCAAGCAAGCCCTTTACATATCGCAAAATCCTTTTGGCAGCATCTAAATGATGAGTACTTGGATTTTGCATAAACTAAGAAATAACACCTACAGAATATGCAATTTCTAGTCTTGTGATAGTTAAGTAGATTAAACTACCAACAAGTTGTTGAAATCGTCTAGCATCCTTCAATAGCTCTCCTTCCTCTTTCTTGAGCTTGAGGTATGGCTCCATGGGAGTAGCCATTTCTCTTGACTCCCCCATTCCAAAATGCTCCAACAGACTCTTTGCATATCGTCTTTGAGATATAAAATATCCCTGATCTGATTTCTCCACTTCTAGCCCAAGAAAGCATCAAATCTCACCCAAATTTTTCATTTCAAATCGAGTTGACAAATTGTTCCTCAATTGAGAAATTTCAGCTTCATCATCTCCGGTGATTATCATGTCATCCACGTATAGTAAAACCAGCAAATGCATATTTGATTCTAATTTTACAAATAAACTAGAATCTGAATTATCAACTTTAAATCCACAAAAGATGAAGTATTGAGCAACTTTACCATACCAAGCACATGGTGCTTGTTTAAGGCCATACAACTAACAGACATGTTGAGGAAATTGCTTGGAGACGAATCCTTTGGGTTGTTCCACGAACACCTCACGGTCTAATTCACCGTAAAGAAATGTGTTCTTTACATCAAGTTGCCATAACCTCCAATTTCTAAAAGCAGCAAGTGAAACAATTGACCTCATGGTCACCATTTTTGCCACGGGATTGAAGGTCTCCTCATAATCCAACCCATAGCTTTGAGAAAAGCCATGAGAAACTAGATGAGCTTTGAATTTGTCAATTGTGCCATCYGGTTTCTTCTTCACCCGATAAACCCATTTGCAGGTGACCGGAGTGCAATTTTCTAGCTTAGGCACAAGCTCCCATGTCTCATTTTTCCTTAAGGCTTCAATTTCTTCTTGCACTGCCGCTTCCCATTCTGGGCAGCCTTTTGCTTCTTCATAACATGATGGTTCTTCTTCTGTTAATGCTTCTGTAAACAAGCAAGTTGTCACAGTACACTGATTGAGCTGCACATAATCTTTGAGGTAAGCTGGTTGTCTTTTCTTGCTTGTTCACCATTGTTTGAACTTGAAGAAGCGGAAGACTCATCACTTCTTTGTTGACTAGGATCATCGTTATCAGATGTTTGTGTGTTAGTTTTAGGAAACAACTCCATATTATCTTGATCATGATCAGAATATATATTTTGAACAATTAATTTTTGAGCTGGATACCAAGATGACACCTCCTCAAATACGACATCTCTAGATGTGACAAATTTCTTCGTCTTTGGATCCATGCACCTCCATCCTTTCCTGCATGAGTCATAGCCAACAAAAATACACTTCTTTGCTTTTGGATCAAGTTTGGTTCGGTTAGTTTTAGGAATATGAACATAACAAATAGAACCAAACACCCGAAAGTAATTCACATTTGGTTTCACATTATACATTATCTCAAATGGAGCCTTTTCTTTACCTGGCCAAGGAGGTAGCCTATTTATCACATGACATGCACATCGAACTGCTTCTGCCCAAAGCTCTCTAGGAAGATTTTTCTCATGTAGCCATGAAAGACTGATTGATGTAAGATGTGCCAACTTCCTTTCTACAACCCCATTTTGCTAAGGGGTGTTTGGACACGTCATCTGCCGTTGAATACCATTGCTGTCACAACACCTTCTTGTACCATAGGTTGAGTTGTCAGCTGTAACAATGACTCGTTCTCCATTATGTTTATGCAGCTCTGAGAATAGTGAATCATTTCCGGTCACATGATGTGAGCAACCAGAATCAATGATCCATTCATCTTTGACGTAGTTGACTGCAGTTTGATTTGGTGCTGATTTGCGATCAATGTTATTTCTTCCTTCAATCACCTCAGTAGTGAAGCATTGCTCCCAGTTGAGCCGGTCATCTTCATCTTCATCACAAGCAATATTTGCTTTGGAGAGCTTCACAGGACAATTTCTCTTAATATGCCCAAGCTTCCTACACCTGTAACACTTAAAAGATTTATTACCTTGTGGGCTATTTCCATTGCTCTTCTTCTCATTTGTGATGCCTTCAGAAAACTTTGCTTTGGAAAAGAGAACATCATCACGTTCTGAATTGGAATTCTTAGCCATTTGCTTAGCTAAGGCCTCCTGGTTAGAGAGCAAGCTCTCTAATTCTTCAACTGATGGTTGTTTTTCCCATCCTTGAATGGATGTAATGAAGGGCGTGTATTCCATCTTCAAGCCACGAATGAGAAACTGTCGTAGACGAGCATCACTAATCTTTTCTTTGGGATCTAGCTCAGAAATTTCAGCGCAAATATTCTTGATGCGAAGGAAATATTCTGAGATTGACATACCTTCTTGCTTCGATATAGCCAACTCATTTTCCAAGAACTGTAGTCTTGTTGTATTCTTCTTAGAGAACAGTCTCTCAAGAGTATCCCAAACTTCCTTTGGTGAACTAACATCACGAACATGATCAATGAACTCCTTGTTGATTGATGTTCTCAAAGCAAATAATGCCWTACCACATTTGATCTTCCATTTCCTTCGTGACTCAGCATTTTCAAGAGTGTAATCTAGAATTTCATCAACACCGGAAATTAATTCCCAAAGATCTTAACCTTGAAGAAAGGCCTCATGCACATTCTCCAATACCTGTAGTTTGTGCCTACAAGTTTCTCCACACCATATTGTGTGTTAGAACTGCTTCCCCCATTGAATTCCATTTTGAGTTTCAATCTTCTCCAACAAGATGAACTTGATAGACAAGAAGAGTGAAATAAACAAGAATCTCAACGTGGCTCTGATACCATAACACAAAAGAGCAGAAATTGATTAAGGGAAGTATTGATACTTGGAGAATAAACTGAATATTTTTTATTGAAGCACACTCAAAATACATTAGACTGCTGAAATTTATAGATTTAAACATTACAACTTTTCCTAAAAACAATCAACTACTTAGCATAAAAAATGTATCATAGCAGAGTAACTACTCTATTATTTGACAGCTCATACTGACTTGGTCTATGCCTAAGAAATAGCAACAAAAACAGCTCATACTGACAGTCTATGCCTAAGAAATAGCAACAGAAATTTGACTAAGTAAGATGCACTAATTTGTAACAAAGTTGTGACAAAGCAAAAAGATAAGAGGGTAAGAGAGAGAGAGAGAGAGAGGTTGTTGCAGAATTGAATTGCGGTGGAGCTTGAAGATCACCGAGTTGAACTAGGAGTCTGAGTTTTCTAAGTGATGGGCAAGATAGTTTTTTAAATCCTTTCATTAATAGACAATGACAGTAAGGAAGATTTAGTCAATTGTCAAAATTAATAAAAATACTTTAACATAATACTAAAACAGTAGGGGGTATAGTTAGTCAATTTCATAAACCTTAGTTGTAGTTTAAGAAATTTGACCTAAAAAAATTTCTAAGTTCTCATTGAACGTGCTTAGAACGTTGTGCCCACCTGATCCAAACTGCCTATTCCATGTTTCTTTGCTTCTGCCCCCTTTTAAAAGAAAAAAATCCTAACTACACCCTTTAAAGGAAAAAGCCTAGGAAGGTAGAATCCACTAGATGAGTCCGATAGGATCTCTCATGGACAAGCTCCTTTCATACAAGGAGTCATAGAGCCCCGACGCCCACGGCACGTAAAGGATCGGAGAAATTAAGTTGATAGAGCACACACAGAAGCATCAATGGAGTAGTGCACATCTATATATATAAAGAAAAGTGTTTCTAGCCTGTAATTAAGTTCTATATACATACCAAAACTGATCAATAAGCACCAAAGAAAGAAAAGAAGGATGAGAAGAGTGCTGCACCTCTACTCTTTTCTCCTCTCCTCCTTGTTCCTGCTACACCATGTACAAGCCCAACGAAACATCGACGGTTACACCTGCTCCACCAACCGGCCCAATCCTCGTCCATGCCAAGCCTACGTCTACTACCAAGCAATGGCTCCCGACCTCCTCGACCTTGCCGACATCGGCGACCTCTTCGGTGTAAGCCGACTCATGATAGCAGAAGCTAGCAATATCTCCTCCCCAAATTCTACTCTCTCCTCCAACCAAAACCTCTTCATTCCCATAGCTTGCTCTTGTCACTCCAATTTCAGTCGCTCCTATGCCAACATCACCTACACCTTCAAGCCGGGTAACACTTTCTATCTACTCTCCACCGGTCGTCAGTTCCAGAACCTCACCACTTATCAAGCCACCGAACTCGTCAATCCCACTCTGATCCCTACAAATATCTCCATTGGTGCACAAGCTGTTTTCCCAATCTTCTGCAAGTGCCCCAACAGAACCCAACGGCACAACAACATCACTTACCTCATCACCTATGTTATCCAACCTAACGATACCTTTGCTTCAATAGCACAGAAGTTTGGATTGGAAACGCAGTCTTTAATTGACATAAATGGAAATACTACCATCGATCCTTACCTAACCATCTTCCTTCCTGTGTCTCGACTTCCTGAACTCACACAGCCTTCTGTTAACGTTGCTTCTGTTCCTACTCCTGCATCTCCTACACCTTCCAGCAGAAGTATTAGTAGAAAGCACGTCATTGTTGGGCTGGGGATTGGGTTGGGAGTTTCGGGTTTTCTGTTACTTCTGTTGCTTTTGCTTTTAGGTGAATGGGTTCGTCGAGACAGCTTGAAAAGGAGCAATGAAATGTTGGAAAAAGACMAGGAGAAGAAGATGGGATTTGGGCGAGCGGAGATGTTGGAGGGAGATGACAGTTTTGTTGCCAATATTAAGGATTGCTTGGATAAGTACAGGGTGTTTGGAATTGAAGAAATCGGAGAAGCGACTGCGAGGTTCGATCCTGGTCAAGTGATTCAGGGTTCTGTGTATAAAGGGTGCATCGGACGAGAAGTCTATGCCATTAAGAAAATGAAGTGGGATGCCTTGGAGGAGTTGAAAATTTTACAGAAGGTAAGATTTGTAGCCTCTTTACTCTTACAGTGTAGTTTTAGTTTAACAGAAAATGGTTAAATAATATAATATAGATTATAGAGCTCTCAACTCCAAAGACTGCCTTTGCATTGCATGAGCTTGTTTTTCAAAGCCAAACAGCAAAACATTGAGGCCCCTTCACTTTTCTTTTCCGTAAATTAATTATCCGTGTAAATGCAATATTAACTGGGTAAGTTTATTTATGCATGTTCTTTTATTTCCTAAGTAAAAAAGGAAATGACCATTTAACCATAAAAATTCATTATTGAAAAGGGCATTTTTGTCCCATTCAAGTGTTAGAAACTTTCCCACCATGTGGGAAAGTTATTTACCCACCTAGGAGATGGGTATCACTTACCCGTGTAAATGATACTCAGGAAAATAAACTTTCCTTGATCCCCACATTAATATGAAAAAAGAACATGGAATTCTTAGTCAATGGGAACCAAAATCCCATTGACCAACCTTACCCCCTCTCAAAATCCAAAAAAAAGAACGCCCTGAAAGTAATGAAAAGTTGCTAATCTTTTTCCATGCATCTATCTTTTCAATTTCTACCCTCATTCAAACACAACATGATAGTAAATTAGTAATAAAACAGTAAACTGCAATGAATTTCATTGAAAAACACTAAGAGATCATAGCAGACTAATGTCATGTTTGGGAGTTCTTAAAAATAAGTGTTTATTTGGGCCATTAAGCACTTACTGGTACTTGGGAAAGAAGCCTGAAATAAATGCTTATTTTAAAAATAAGGGTTTATTTTTTTAAGCCCAAATTTCCACCTTTTTTTAAGTGCTTATACAATAAGCACTTATTCAACTTTTTTCTTTCAAAATTATCCCTAGTTGAACTTTAAAATACCACTTATGAGATTATTCCTAATTGAATTTTATAAAAGTGCTTTTGTAAAAGCACTTTTATAAAAGTACTTTTATGAAAGCACTTTATAAAATCATTTTTATAAAAGTACTTTTACAAAAGCACTTTTACGAATGTGTTCTCATAAAAGTGTTTTTATAAAAGTACTTTCATAAAAGTTTTTTTATAAAAGTAATTTAATGAATGTAAAAGTACTTTCATAATTTTTTTTTATAAAAGTAATTTAATAAAAGTGCTTTCAAAAGGCATATTTTGAAATTTTGAAAGAAAATGAAGGACAAATTAGTCATAAATGTTTATTTAAGTGCTTATTAGAGATAAAAACTACCAAACACCCAATATAAAATAAGTACTTATTTTAAAAAATAAGCACCTGAAAAAGTTGGGTGCCAAATGCAAATGAGTGCTTATTCGAATAAGCACTCCCAGACATGGCCTAAGTTTGAGAGTGCTCATTTCAAAAATAAGTGTTTATTAAGTGCTTATTCTAAATAAGTGCTCATGAGCGTTCAGTGAAAAATCACCTATTTCAAAATAGGGGTAGTATAGATATTTTCAAAATGATCGTGGCAAGTGAAACGGGTAAGAAAGTAAATTAACTTTTATTGAATAAGTACTTGAAAATAAGCCTGAAATTTAGGCTTCACGACTTATTAAACACTAATAAGTTCTTATCAGTGTGGTCTTGGCCCAAAATAAGTACTTATTTGAATAAGGACTTACTTTTAACCACTCCCAAACTTTGGCTATAATCCTTGTAGAGTTTACACTTTTAGAACCCCTCCAAAACCTAACTGGCGTGCTAGATAATGTTAGACTTAAGGGGCTAGGCCTTTTATTTTATTTTCATTGTAATTAAAAAAAGAAAATTATATATATATATATATATATATATATATATATAATCAAATTGGTTTGATTGTTCATATAACATAAATGAGAGGAGTTTTTCTATATATTTATATGCTGAGAACCCACTCATTTAGCATTTCTAGAGGGTCGGGATTCTATTTAGGCCTTTGCTTAGATTCCAAAAAAAATTACTCGGAGTAAAGCTTGAGGTTTGAAAAAAATAATCAATCAAAGAAAAGTTTTTTTCCTGTCCATTCGCAAACCAGCCCTTACTTGTTCCCTTCCTCCTTAGAGCCTAGGGGTATTCCTTTGGGGATTTTGAGGGGGGTTGGTCAATGAGATTGTGAATCCCATTCACCAAGAAACTTATATTATTTTTTTATATTTATGTGAGGATTAGAAAAAATGATACCCACCTTCCACGCACCTACTTGGATAGAACTATTTTAATAATAGAATTTTATAGTTAAAGTGGTCATTAATTGACCCACAAACCAACAAGATCCTGACAGTTTGTTGTTGGATTTGGGTCTAATTTATGTCATCTCTGTCCAATACACCAGTCACAGTCAAATTAAATTGACTAGCATGATGTATGGGCCGGGTCGAGCCGGGCTCGGGCCGGGTTTTCACTTGTCACTAATGAATATATACTAGGCCTGAGCCCGAGCCCGGCCCGACCAACGGGCCTATAACTTGGGCCCGAGCCCGGCCCTGGTAAAAAGCCCGAAGCCCGACCAAATTGAAAAAAAAAACAATTTTCCCTATTCAAATTAGAATTAAAATTTCAGATAAGTATTTTTTTTTCTATTTAAATGAACAATGGGCCTACAAGATGGTATTTTTCCCTTTCTTTTATATTTTAAAACACAATTTTACATTCTTAAATCAAAAAAAATTATTCAAATGGATATAATCACATAAATAATTTTAAGTTTAATATTAGGTTGGGTCGGGCCGGGCTCGGGCCGGGCTATTTTGACAAAACCCGAGCCCGGTTCGAATTTATTGCGAGCCGGGCTTTTTGGCCCGAATTTAAGCCCACGGGCCTATGAAAATGTCCAAGCCCGTCCGGGGGTCGGGCTGGGCCGGGCCGGCCCATGAACAGGTCTAATGATGATATACAGTTCAATAAAATAATAATACGGTGGAGCTAAGATTTGTTGGGAAGTTAGGATGGACTGAACAGTAAAAACCCATAATAATATTTAATTTAAGAGTACAATTTGGACAGATTTGTTAAAATTTGAATGGGCTCGGGCCCATTATGCCGTGTAAATTAATTCGAATAGTCTTAGCATTGAAAAATATAGATAAACCAAAAATATATTTATTTTGAACAACAGGATACTCTGAGTATATCAATTGGACAATTCCACGTTAAGGTTTTCATTTTTCTTCTTTTACGCATTTTATTACGCGTTTGCACATAAAATATTGCATTCAATACTGAATACAAATTGTAGGTAGTTTCTAGTTGCATGACTTGGTCCTGATTTCATTTAAGTCCTGTCATCATTATCTGTTTTTATATAAATTTTGTTATGCTTTTTTTACACCCATTTGCATAGAAATATTGCATTTAATGACGATTTCAAATTTTCTATAGTTTCTCATCATTTTCTGCTTTCTGCACAAAATTCATTAAGAACTTTCCCTCATTTTCTGTTTCCTTTTTAATTATTTTTCAATAAATAATTCGTCAAGAATTTTCCCTTAACTTTCTGTTTTTTTTTTTCTGAGCATTTTCCATCTGTGTTCACACATAAATATTGCACTCAACAACGATGTTTTTAGCCCCTTCCCTCATTGACTTAGTGGGGTCAAATCGGTGCTTCTACTCAACTTTTAACCCCATATTAAAAAGAAAAAATAAATAAATATTATCGACTTGATCAACAACTTGTGTAAAGCCCACCTATTATGCTACTACATATATATATATATATATAACTAGGCCTTTTTCAAAAAAAAAAGATGATATAAATTTTTTATATACTGAAATTTTGAGCTATATTTTTGTCTTTTATCTTTAGGAAATTTGAAAAGAGACGGAGATAATAACTGAAATATTAGCCTCAAAGAAAATTTTCAATAAATGGTGGGGATAAGTCCCTCTTAAGGACAAAAGAAGTTAACCAAAGGACAAATAGTGTTCCTTTATCAAATGGATGGTTTAGATTTACCCATCATCTCCTTGTGCATGTCCAAGTGATGATTTGGATACCTAATGTTGCTCCTAGCTAGCCATCTAATGTCTTGGGGTGGACTAGATACAAATCCAACATCTAGCTTTATTTATTTATTTATTTATTTTGCACAAAGTGGCCTCTCTTTCATCATATCATGATATTATGGTTTTAAAAGCTTAAGCCTCAAATTTTGCATTCATTAGAATATCTCATCAGTGATTAAAAGTTGATGATGGGAAATTTAAACTTGAACAATTTGAGAAATTTAAATTTTGAAACTTGAAATACAAAAAATCTCTAGTTGTTAGTTGGTTACTTGTATTTTATTTTGTTGAATGCTAAAAGTCTAGGATTTGTTTCCTATACACTTCTATTTTATGAATGCTTGCAAGTTCTGACACTCTATATATCTTACTTTATCATATGTTGTTTTATTATCTGTAAACTGTAAGTAATCTTTAGGCTTTTGTCTTGAAGTTTATGTCTCATCTCTTTGAGCCTTTATGTCTCAACTAGGCCTTTAATCTTTTTAACCTTGATCATATAATATCTAGTGTTGTTATTGTTGTTGTGATATTTTCTATTCCAATTACTGATATCCTAAGTACAACTTTTTTGACTAAAACAGTGGTCATGTTATTAGTGAAAATTAATTGCATATACTAGTTGTTTTCTTTTGTTTCCCCTTAATTTATTTTACAATCTTAATTTTTTAAGATTTATTTAATAATTATGTTTTTTCCCAAGACCACGAGCATTGATTATTTAGGTCTTTCGTACAGACCAAATGCCCCCATGTCTATTTTATTAAAGCCCTTCTTTTTGAATATTAATTATATTTCTTGTAAAAAATAAGAAAATGCATATTAATTAATAATATAATATAACTTTTTATTTAATTAAAATGTTCATTACTTTTGCCCTTGGTCAATGGTCTCCACTAGAGGTCTTCAAATACTTTCTCGTTTTCCAATTGCCCGGAAGAAAATGAGCAAAGACAAATGAAAAAGAAAGTGGGATGGGGGGACCAGCAAGTACATACATACATAAAAAAGAAGAGAAAATAACTCACAAAGTGATAAACATCAATACTAATAGCAAAGCAAAGGTGGGTAAAAAGGGTTCAATCGGAAGGAAAAAGAAAAAGACAACAAGGTTGAATCCGGATTTTATCCTCATAGCCCCTTCTATAAATAAAAATATACAAGTACAGAGATGTTCCTAATCCACAGCTGCAAAAGGCTGTGAGATGGGTTTGTGAGGACGAAATGGGAGTTCAACAAGGTCTGAGCCGTCTGGCTTGGTCCATAAAATTCCAAGTCAATAACCATCAACTGAGTGTATTCTGGCCCTTGTTCCATTAGAAAATGGGTAACATCAGCTCACCTCCAAGGAGATAAAGAACTAGCTGATGCAAAACGTTGCCAAACTGATTGGTCATTCCATCTAATCACACAAGAATATAATGACTTTATGTCTTTCTCCATCATTTTAATTTCCGAGCATCTACCCATTTGTCTAACAACACAGTCAATGGTAGATCCGTGGAGAGATAAGAATATCTGAAAAAAGATTACCTACCCACACATTGACACAAGCAGATAAGAAAGGCAAACGAGGACAGCATTCAAACCAGTTCAGTTATTGGTTTAATGGTGCCCAACACAACAGGTGGAACCTGAATGGAATAGACTATCAACACTGTACACAGATATGGGAAACTGGGAGTAGAAAAACATCAGAAGATAAGGAAAAAAAAAAAACCTAAGTTTCCCATATCTGTGTACCATCTCTGCTCTCAGGGTGGAGAATAAAGATGAGAGTAGAGCACCATCTCTTCTCTTCTCTCCTCCTCCTCCTCCTCTTAGGCCTTCTACACCAATTACAAGCCCAACCAGACATCACTGGCTACAGCTGCTCAGCCAACCAATCCATCTACCCCTGCCACACCTATGTCTTCTACCGAGCCATGTCTCCCAGCTTCCTCGACCTTGCCAACGTCGGTGACCTCTTCGGTATAAGCCGACTCCTGATAGCAGAAGCCAGCAACATCTCTTCCCCAAATTCAACTCTCGTCCCTGACCAGAACCTCTTCGTTCCTGTAACATGCTCCTGTGACTCTCAATACAATCTCTCCTATGCCAATATCACCTACAAAATCAAGAAAGATGATACCTACTACCTTGTCTCCACGACTCTGTTCCAGAACCTTACTACTTATCAGTCTGTTATAGTCGTCAATCCTACTCTAGTCCCTACAAATCTCACCATTGGTGTCCAAGTTGTTTTTCCGATCTTCTGCAGTTGTCCCAATAGTACTCAACTGCAGAATAACATCAGTTATCTCATCACATACGTTATTCAACCTTCCGATACCTTTGATTCAGTAGCTCAGAAGTTTGGGTTGAATTCACAGTCCTTGATAGATTTAAATGGAGGGACCATCTATCCCAACCTTACCATCCTCCTTCCGGTGTCTCAACTTCCTCAGCTGACACAGCCTGCTGCTGTTCCTTCCACAGTACCTTCTACGACCACAGAGAGAAAGGGGGTTAATACTGGGTTGGGAATTGGGTTGGGAATTACAGGTTTTCTGTTAATTCTGTTGATCCTGATTATGGGCATATGGGTTTATCGAGAGGTATACTTGAAAAAGGGCTATGCAGTTGCAGAAATCAAGGAGAAGCAGTCCAAATTTAAGCTAGGGGGAATGTTGGATGGAGATTTCATGGCCGATGTTTCGGATTGCTTGGACAAATACAGAGTTTATGAGATTGAAGAAGTGAGAGAGGCAACTAATGGATTCGATTCAAGTTGCTTGATTCATGGCTCGGTGTATAAAGGAAGAATAGGAGGAGAAATCTATGCCATTAAGAAGATGCAGTGGAATGCATACGAAGAACTGAAGATCTTACAAAAGGTAAGATCCCTGCATCCAAATCCCCCCACCCCCAAAAGAAAAAATTACTTAGGTTTTTAATGGCAGAAAATTGATTAAAATACAGTCAGAAAGAAGTCTAAGATGTTATATTTCCCAGAATTCATAGTTTCTTTAGTATAGTTGGGAAATGACTGTGTATATCAAGATGAGCAGCACATAGTGGTGCAGGAGTTGAGTCTTAAACATTCATGGCTCTCAACCCATGAGATTCCTACCCTAAAAATACTTACAACCAGACATGAACAACCTTCCAACCTTGTAATTTCCAATCAGGAAATGAGAACTTAAATTATAAACTTCTTTGTTTTGAGCCCATTAACTAGTTCTTACTTATATCCCCCCAAAATAATTAAGCCAGAGGTCTTGGTTTATCCTACTGATTGTTTTACCAAGGGGACCCATTTTATATACCGTAATTGCTTGCTTATGCATTACCTGCTCATCGTTTATTACTAAATAGTGGTTTGGTACAGCGATCAGACTAGTTTGATCAGGCCTTTAAGATGTTCTGAGGTATCATTTAAGTGTTTATGTTCAAAGACAACCACAAAAAGAACCACAAGATTCAAGCTGGCTCATAGATTAGTAGCTTACAACCAAACAAAAGTCCTAATATTAAATTCTTACTTAAAAAAATTAACCCAAAAGTCATCTTTATAGCTTTCAATAGGTGATTTTCAAATAGAAAATGTACATTAAACTCATTAAGATGAAAGTGTCATTTTCTATATTATGGTCTCTTTGCATCTATTTTGAATCTGAGGCTTGATTTGTTTACACTGGTACAAAGGTATGGGAGTGGAAATGAATTGAGAGCAAATCCGGGTTTACTTTGTTTTAGGTTTTACTTTGTTGTGTTTGTTAATTTGCATTGGCAAATGAAGTGAACCAAAAAGCAAACAAATTAATGGAGGATCAGACTGCTTGTTAGAAAGATGGTCAGTTACTGTAAATCCGTATATAGTCCTCTGTTTATCTGTATAGCTGTATTAGTTTTATTTGTTGATTTATTAATGCTTCTTTGTTACTTGATGAGCTTTGATATATCTATGACTTCTTGTTCAAAGGTTAACCATGGGAATCTAGTGAAGCTGGAGGGTTTCTGCATTGACCCAGAAGACAGAAACTGCTATCTTGTCTACGAATACGTTGAGAATGGAGATCTCCATTCATGGCTTCATGAAGACAGCAGTAGGGGAAAGCTCGACTGGAAGACTAGGCTACGAATTGCCATCGATATTGCTAATGGTCTCCAGTACATCCATGAGCACACAAGGCCAAGGGTGGTGCATAAAGACATCAAGACTAGCAACATTCTATTGGATGGAAATATGAGAGCAAAGATTGCCAACTTTGGACTAGCCAAATCTGGTTGCAATGCCATAACCATGCACATTGTGGGTACTCAAGGTTATATTGCACCGGAGTATCTTGCAGATGGGATTGTAACAACAAAGATGGATGTTTTCTCCTTCGGAGTGGTTCTACTTGAGCTAGTTTCTGGTAAGGAAGCCATTAATGAGGAGGGAAAGCTCCTATGGATGGAACTCAGTGCAGTTTTGGAAGGGAGTGAAGAGGAGAAGGAGGAGAAGTTGAAGGCATGGATGGATGCCTTTCTTGTTGGGGAATCATGCTCAAAGAAGAGTGTGATGAATGTAATCACTGTTGCTGAGGCATGCTTACAAAAAGAACCCTCTAAGCGGCCAAGTATGGTAGATATTGTCTACATGCTGTGCAAGAGTGATGATTTGTCCTTGGACCTCTCTGAGGATAGCAAGTCAGTCACTAATGTATCAGCCAGATAAGACTTAAGAGAATTTAGTGCCAAGGTTTTAGCTTTCCCCTTCCTTTAATTTGATTCAAGGGGATCAAATAATAAATCATGCTGTTTTTTTTTTTTCATTTTTCTCCTTTTGTTGTAATACATATATATAATAATCCAGGCAGTCTATATAAACTATGTACTTATTTTCTTTTGCCTTTTTGGTTCTTTTAGTATTTATATATTTATTTTGTTTGTGTGTATGAAGCTTTTGAATATTTATGGAGTGAGCAGCCTGAGAGAACATGTATGCACACATTCTTGAGGCTTTATAGCTAAGCTATTGATAATTCAAGATTAAAAAAAAACATATTTTTAGTTTTTTTTTTTCAAAATTGCTTCAAGTGGTCAGTTTTAAGCATGCTTACGCCCTGAAACCCCTCAATATCCGAAACTCCTCTTATTTGGGGTTTTGAAAACCAACTGATACGATATGATATGCCCAAATACGATACTTTGAATCTTGTTTAAGATGAAATAAGATGTTAAAACTAAAAAAGTCTTGTTTTTACAGAAGAAGAAGAAGAAGAAGAAGAAGAAGAAGAAGAAGTCAGTCTTGTTATTATAATTGTCCCTTTAGTAAACAGTAATCATAGTTGAAAGATATATGTTATGTATAAGATAATACTAGTTATAAGCAGTTGCTATGAAATTTTGTGCCATGTGTTTTCTTTTGCAGATATAATGCTTTTATATACAACCTTTTATATTAGGTACACACATACAAATCTCAGTTTAGGTTTCTACTCATTACTAAAATAAAAGGTCTCTAAAACACACTAATATCGAGCTCAAAATGAAAGATACAACGAAGCCCACAATAGAAGAAAAGAACAGAAAAATTCTTAACTTAGGCATTGGGAATTTGGGACTGCAAAACAATGAAATCTATAAATTGATATATAGGATAAAAGAATCAAGAATGATCTATTTTGAATGAACTCAAACCTAAGTAAAGAAGAGGTTTAGGGTTAGGGCCTTTTGGTGCACCGGGTAAAAAGCATAGACAATGAGGAAATAGGCAAGGATCAAAATATCCATATGGGGCATATCATATCCAGATCAATGGACCCCAAAACTTATGGATACATCCATGTAGAAAAGGTTAACCCTTGGGGGCTTTAAAAGCATCCCTCTAATGAGTTCACATCGGCATGACGGCACCACACAGCACATCCCCACCGTGTATTGGGAATGTAGACACTCCATTTTTGCGCTCTTCAATTTTTTTGCAGCACTTTAAGTTTCAAGCATGCTTCAGCTAACCCCGTTGTCGACTTGTGGGTATTTTTGAAATTTTATAAAAGTTGGGGCCTCAAGGATCCAAAACCATAGGTACGTAGAGCCCAAAAAACCAAACCCAATGACACCAATATCACCCAAATCTGACACTATTTACCCCTTCATCTTTAGACCCAAATCCAAAACCACATTTCACACCAAATCAGAAACACAAAACTATAGGAACGTAGAGCCTGAAAATCCAAATCCAATGACACCAAGATCACCCAAATCCAACACCGTTTACCCCTTCATCTTTAGACCTGATGTTGCGCAATCCGGACACTCCTACCTGGCGGACGTCTGGCTCCTAGCTGGCAGTGGACGGTACCTGAGAAGAGGAAGGAGAAGGATTCCCAGGGGACTTGCCCGGTGGGAATACTCCGATGCTTAAGTTAGAACACTTGAGAGAGCTGTAAAGTAAGTTAAGAGTGCAGATAGCGCTAGATCAATTCAATTCAGGATTAATTCAGGATTCATTCAAAATACCTTCGCCCCTTCGACCCAGGGGCCTTTAAATGCAGATGTTCTTGTCAAATCGGGCGTAACCGCCACTGGTCCTCTGTCGCAACCGTTATTTGCCAGAGCTACGCAGGTAACTGTTGCAGAGTACTGCCCAATCGGACGAGAGACACGACTCGGAAAGGACAGACATGCCACCACCTGTCGAGAGACGTGGGTGTAGTCTGTTGGGCTGGCAGGGGCTACGCCATCAGTCAGAAGACGTGGCGCAGTTTGACGGGTACGGTCTCATCAGATAAGAAGCTTCCTAAGAACACCGTGTCACTTAACAGCGAGCTGCTTTGTAGCAAAGTATCCCATAGCGAGCTGCCTTGTAGCAAGCTATCGCATAGCTAGCTACCTTGTGGCGAGCTCCTGGATGTGTCCTGAGGTGATTCCGCCTGAGGTTGCCTTTGGGGCAATCTTCTTCCCTAAGTATTGGAGCGAGCTGATTCTCTCAGCTCGCGGGCTGGGATAGACTTGGCTTGGAGTATTCCCTTTTCCGCATACCGGGGTCCTTGATCTCGCACTGTAGCGAGCTCATTCCGTGGCAAGCTATAATGTGGCGAGCTGTCCTACGAGGACTTTAACGAGCTTGTTACTTAGTTGTGGCCAGGCTGTCATGTTGAGTTGTTGCTTTCGTTGAGTCAAGTCCACATGTCGCCTTCTTAGGAGGTCGGGTCAAATCACCCTCCATCAATTGCCCCCCACTCATTGGGCTAAGGGTTCTACCTAGCACGAGGAGTTCATGGAGTGTGACGGGTGGATTTGACCCGAAATTCAGACTTGATTGACCGATCGCATTAAATACACACACGGATGTCAGGCAAATTCTAGACTTTTCGAATGCCAAAAAGCGCGCCAAAATAGCTCTCATCTCCGGAAGTCGTGCAGCCGGCAATACCTTAATCATGGGAGACGTGCAGCCAGTCGCATTTCGGTTTCAAAAGACGTGCGGTCAGCTTGACTGCGAACCGTCAGATTCGCCTTGATCTGATCCGTCAATTTGTGGGCACAGTGGCTATAAATAGGGATGCCCCAGGCCTCATTTCTTTTACGCCAACTTGCCTTGCTTTCGGATTCTGAGGTCACGCCTTCATCTAGCTGCTCGAGCTCTTCTCCTCTTCACACTGTTTTTTCGATTCAACTCTTCCCTGGTGAGTCTTATCGCTTTGTCAACATGTTTGGGTATCCGTACAATGTCTTTCCCTAGGGCGGTAACCAAGATGACGCCCCCTCGAGCTCAGGGAGAACTTGGGGGCAAGCTCGGGAGGCCTTCGGCGAAACAGCTTCCACCTCCCGGGGTAAGGAGTCCGACAGCTTTGGTCCTTCCTCCATGTCGATGGAGAGACTCAGGACCTTGGTCCTTCAATTCAACCTTCCCAGAAACCTCATCTATAGTCTCCCATCCGGTGACTATCCTTGGGAACACGGTCTCGATGAGACCGTGATCTTCCAGGAACAGCTTATTATTGGCCTTTGTCTTCCTCTGCATCCTTTGATAGTGGAGGTTTTGAACCACTTTAACGTTACTGTAACCAGCTTCACCCCAACTCGATCCAGAACGTAGTTGGGACGATTTTTTTATTTTATGAATACTGTCTTCCTCTTGACCTCGACATCTTCTCCACCATCCTTTCTATCAAGAATGCTTCCCCCGGAGCCTCCAGAAAGGCGTTCCTATTACTTTTCTCCCCGTCCCGGCTTCAAGCTTCTACATGAACTGCCGAATAGGATCCCGGCCTGGAAGCGAGATTATTTTGTAGTTTGCAACCCCGAAGGGTGGCCCTTCCCAACCCACTGGAGGGCCGCCATCCAGGATTCAGGTGTTGACTTGGATCCCAAAGTTCGGGAAACGCTGCAATCCTGGGCAACAGTTGGCTTCCATTGGTCAGACTACTTGACTGAGGACAAGCTCGCGCTAGCTGGCCTGAGCCCCGGTAGGTTGCCTTTTAGGACGCGCAATGCCTTGTAAATTTTTTTTTTAGCTGGACTAATGCCTTGTGATTTTTGGCAGCCAACATGTCTGGTGTAGATGCGCGCCGCCTTCTGTCAAGCAGCCAAAAGCACAGGGTGAAGAGGTCGCGCCCTGACCGAGCTTCCACTTCCGGGAGTGCTGAGTTCGATGTTGCTGATCCAGCCTTCGTTCAACCACCACCTGAGGTCCCACCGGTCCCGTTCAAGGGAGTAGCCACGGAAGGTGGCGCGGAAGCGCGCAAGGGCAGTACCCTCGGTCTGAGCAGTCCCACCCCTTCGCCTTCCCGCGGCTCCCTACCGGAGAGTGGGAGAGCGTCACTGAATTCACCGTGGCTTCGCGAAGGAGACGGAAGGCTGTCACCCATGAGGAGGTCGCCAGCTGRGGAAGGATGGACCCCAAGCAGCTCGCTAGGCTAGCCTCCACTCACTACATGGTGGTAAGTGGCTGCTTTTTTGTTCTTTTCCCTTCTTTTCCTTCTTTTTTCTTTTTTTTTTGACCTCGGCCTTTTGTTGGCAGGTGAACTCCACCATTCACGCCATGGCTCTCCAGATCAACATCCACTCCGGCGACGCACTGGCTCAGAGGTCGAACGTGCAGAAGCTCCAGGGCGAGCTCGACCGGGCCCGAGGTGAAATCCTCCAGGCTCGGAAGGGGAGCGAGGCTCAGGAGCTGCTCGTCCGAGACCAGGAGGCACAGATCACCCGGCTGTCTGAGGAGAGCGCTCGCTACCGGGAGGAGTCATCGAGGGTGATAGCGGAAAGGGAGCTTCTTCACCAGCAGGTCCAGGATCTAGAGTCTACACTTCAAGATCGGACTCGGAACTTCGACGCCATGGTGGAGGCTGAGCGAGCTAAGGCAGTGTGGGACTTCAAGGTCTCTCAGGAGTACCACGACCTCCAGGTGGAGTACGGCTCGAGCTCCTACCGTTCTGGATTCAAACTCTGTCGATGGCTGGTTCAGAAGAAGTTCTCCGGGCTCAGCCTTGAGGGCATAACGATGAAGGGTCTGGATCCAGAGACGGCGGACTTGGCGAAGGAGGAGGAGCCTGACTCTTCGAAGGATGACGAAGACGTGGAGGCGGCGGATCCCTGAGGCTGGTTGCTCTTGTTTTTCTTTCTTCTGAAATGAATTCTGAAGTGGTTGTTCCTGGGTGTCTGAACCCGGTTTTAAATTTTTTTATGAACTCTCCCGGGCGGTTAGGCCCGTTTTTTTTTATGAACTTCTTCCGGACTGTTAGGCCCGGTTTTTTATTTATAAGTACTACTAGTTTTTGTTTCTTCCTGCTAACTGTTGTGTGCTCTTTACTTTCTGCCAAAGCGACTTTACTCGAGCTGTTAGAGCTACATACAGGAAGTAGGATCTTTCAGTAGTTGTTACCCCGAGTTGTTCCTCCATACTTGGGGTAGTTTTATGGTATAACCCGATGTGGTTATCATAGTAAGCCTGAGTTGTATGCACCTGGGTTAAGTTGACATAGGTTGTCCCTTATC